ACAGGCCAGTTCCATTTTGGAATTTGAACCATACGCAAATGGAATATAGAGCCACTTTAAAGGCCCTTTTTTGTGGCGTTCCACCGAACTTAAAGGTTTTGAGCGTTAATCTAGCTACCACTTTCGTGTTCTATACAACCTGAAATTCACTAAGAAAAAATTGCTTTGGTAACAGATATTTTGACAGTATACAAACTGTGATTTGGTCCGCGTAGGCTTCTTTGCACCTAATTTGCAGTTGAACTTTTCTGGCTACGTCTTATAAAATCCACTTGGTGTTATTGAAGTTTCATTAGCAAAAGCCATTTTCTTTTACGCTCCCTTACTACTGGCTGTCTGCAATTCTTGTATGGTATCTAACTCAAAGTGACAAGCTGGCCCTGCTGCCTGTACGGCGATTACGGTGGAAAGTCATACGGGTAGCGAAAAATAGCTAGGCTTACGGTTACCTAATAGTATGCGATATTGCAACTATGAACTGGGGCCTAAATTCGTCGTCTACACTCTTATGTCCGTAGCCTTTTGCCATTGACAGTCTCGTGCCATCAACAAACAAGCACAATGCGGTGACAGGTGAGTTAAGTTCCATTCAGGCAGTAAAACAAAAACTTTACAAGAAAATCTAATACTGCATCTATTTTTAGAATTTTATTTTTACTGGGATAAGTTTCTTTACTCAGACTGAATGTACACTGGACTACATCCACCAAATTTTCCCATACATTTACTAGCTCTTCATGAAGTCACTCTACTTTTACATGTCCTGTCTTATCCATTGATTTGACGGTGAGGCACTTTTTTGGGGGGGGAGGTGACTCATATTTCATTTTTGTATTTTTTTTCTTGGAAAGCATACTTCAATGGTAAGGAAAGTAATCAGTATATTTCTTTACCAAATATTAGCACCAAAACCTGTGGATCACAACACCATGAAATCAAATCGCTAGTGAAAATGATGCGGACGACAAGCCGGCAGAGCAGCTATAACGCTGTTTTCCGTTGATTTTTTTTCTTCCCCAATGTCTGAAAAACACACGTCAGTCACTTTTCAATTTTTCCTCTGACACCAAAAGCTACTGGTACCATTGGGGTTGGCACCATATATGACTATATATTTCGTACATATATAACCCCCTATCCCCCTGGGATTTATGCCCAGGGATTTAGACCAACTACACTAATAATAAATATTAACGCATGCATTGGTTACAAAAACTATGCCCTGCCTCCACAGACAGGATGTTGTTTTCACTGTTGGTAAATTAATTTGGACCCTTTCCAAATTCTTAAAACAAGGGGCCTCCTGCTTTGGACTATTTTGACCATGCCAACATTTCTACCACTGCATCGTTTCACTATACCTTTTGTTTGTTATCAAGAATGTAATGAGAAAGGTTTAACTTACCAAAGTGTCTGTAACTGCTGCAGTACTTCTGTTGTCCATGCTTCATCATTAATGGACACCATCAATGGTATAGTTCCTACTGATAGATCTACTCAGCACAAGACTGCACTAGAAAGTGCAAATTGTGAACTCATAACAGACTCTACCTTTAGTAGCCTTTCACTTCTAAGTGATAAAGTTCACCTTTGGTACACACGTACAGAATAGACTAAATTGCTTACACAGAAACTTCACAGTCACAAAGAAAAACATAATTTGGCCGTAGTATACCTATGTCTTCACCTGTAAGTGTTCAAATATGTGGCTGATGCATGAGTGGGCTACATATATTCAGACATCAGATTCAAATGGGATCAACACTTGAAATGGATTAATTGCACTGACCAATTTCATTAAATTTGACTATGTGGCTTATCAACAGCCTAAATGGATGCTCAGATAATGCTTGAAACCTACCACTCCTTTAAAATAACCATTCTGATTAAACTACCACCCTTCCTGGTAATGGGTTAATACCCAGTACTATGCAAAGCACATTCTGTTGCAGGCTAGTTTCAGTGAAAGATTTTTAGGTCATTTTAGTTGCACATTCTTAGATAAATGCCTGTGAAATACACAAATTGTCTGAATTTTGTTCCCACTGCTACACATATTTACAACGGTAATTCCTTCAAGTACACACCTACACAACAATTATTAAGACAGGTCCAGCGGTTGAACCCTCACCTCCTTAGGCCAGTACGGTACTCCCTCATCCATTCAAATCATCACATTTACATCATTTACTTAATGCACATATATTTACATGTGTTCAGAGTTAAACAACTGAGCATATTAGTTATTTTAGTAAATTTTCTATCAATCTGTAAGTTCAGGTTTCCAGAAATTAGCTTAGAAAAAATCTTATTTTAACAAATCTGGCAGGAAGGAACTATCTAAAAAGTGCTGACTGGGGTCAAGTCTAGTCTATTGCATTGTGGGGGGGGGTCTGTCAGACCTTACCTCTGCCAATTATGATGGTGGTAGGTGTTAGACAGCACAAAAGCATTCTATCCTTGCTTGACAGAGCTTGAATGTTCAATTGTGGGATTCATGGTATACATCTTAAAATATGGACATAATTATGTATTATTTTATATACAGATACAAAGTTATGTAAATAGGGCTAAAAGAATGTACTTCAGTTGTTTAATGTGATATGCTCGAAAAATGACAAATTCAATTATCAAATCTTCAGTTCAACAGAAAAAATTATTAAATATACTTTACTGACTCACACTATTAAAAATGATGTCCTGTCTATCTCATCTGTACTTGTTTTAAAAGGAAAAGGTACAGAAGCAATAACCCTTCACCCTTTTCCTTCATTTTGGACATCATTCCATGTTCACTTTTTATTATGTGCTTTGTTAAACTAAAGGCACAGCGTGTTGTACACGTACATGTTTTGTACATGAAGCAAATGAGAATGTCAATGTGATAAATTTTGAGTTTACATATTTATAACATAGACATTTGATCACACAGAGCTGACTCAGCTCTGCACATTTTTTAAAATAACAGCTGCCACACCTGTCATGGGTAATTTCCACAGTGCCTATTCCATCCAGATTTGTTTGTAGGTCTGTCCACAGTAAAGACACATTTGTGTGACATTCAGTACAAATCTCCAATAAACTGTAAAATCTTGCCATTAGTTTTGGTATACATATATCTGCACTGTTTCTGATTGTTGCCACACAGAAAAGTAAAGATAAAATGAGCAGTATTTAAGAAATTACAGAAGTTTATGCTTGAAGATATAAAAAATTTGTCACATGAACAGATACTTTGTTTCTTAAGTATGAAATTTAAATTCAAAATGCAATTGAAAATTACCTGCAATTTATCAAATAAACTTTTTACTTGACTTTGGGAAACTTTCCTAATCTTTTAGAACAATTCCTGTGTAGAAAACACTACAAAAATTGTGTCAAGAAAAAAATTACGTTTGTGCACAGATGTCACGTTTGTCACATAACAGATATAACGTATAATCACAGGACATTTTTTGGTGTTTGAATTAGAGCATGAAAACAGAATTTTTCACAAACTAGACTTGTATGTTATTAGTTTTCAAAATCATTTTTGTAAAAAAAGACTATTAAACTTCAGCTACAATATGAAAGTTTTTCTAATGAGTCACGTTTGTCACATGCACAGACATAATGTTTGTCACATAGCATAACCTGGGAACAGACAGTCTTCTCACTTTCATTTAAACACAATGAACCAACTTTTCTAACGAATTGTTTGTTAATTCATTTCATTTGGTTTAATACGACATGTATGTGCTCATAAGATAACTCTTCCAAGCATTTAGAGGGAAAAAGGGTTGTGACAAATATTACAAAATAGTGGACAGACAGTGGCAACTCCTCCAATCAGATCTTAGTTGTTTCATCTGATGGAAAAACAAACACTAATATGATGTCAACTATTATTTATTGTACACACTTTTCTCAGGAATGTATATGGGTCATTCTGTAAATAAAGAGTCCAGTTGAAAAATCTACTTTTTCAGACTTTTGAAGTGATTTTGAGAAAATGCATATGCACAGCTATTATTTTGTAGTGTGGTCATGTCTCATAATTAGTTACTATAAATGGAAGAATGCTTTCAAGATTGCTTTTGATTTTTTTCCAAGGCTGAAAAGAGGTTGTAAACCTTTGATTTTGTGATAAAACGGGAACAGAATTTATTAACTGCATGTGTGCAGTATTTCCAAATGTCTGGTGTTCTAAATAAATTATTATAATTTTCTGATTAGAAAGACTGAGAAAAGAAGTCTTCTCAATAAATACGTTGAAACAAGTTTGGCACCACCACTTTCCTTTCAACCCTTGGCCTATCTTGGGTATCAACCGTAACATTTCGTGTCCCAGGTTCTTACGTGAGGAACAATGATACTGTTTGGGCGATTAACAGCCAGTTCGTGCACGCGTGATGGTAGGCGATCCCCATGTTTTGACAATTCAGAAAAAGAGCACGATCGATCAAGAAATTGAGTCATAACGAGTCATCGATATTTATGTTTTCATGTCTTTCGGAATTGTTTCGGTGTGAAAACTGAAGATGTTGTAGCGACATGACGCAATGGAAAAATTAACACGAAACATTCCGTAGATACGCGTCAGCCAACTGGCAATCCATGCCAACTGTGCACGGCCGCAATGTTTGTGTCTTAGCCCGATCGACATGAGCGAGGGAAGAACGTTTTGGGAACGTCACTTGTTACGTTGTTATTTATGTTACGGTGTATCATTTCTGTAACTCTCTCAGTATAAGTTATATGATCCTTGTTCTCTTGCCGTGTAAATGAAATAAACCACTTGTGTCTGTCTGAAAAAGCGATGAACTTCTGCACGTTCAGTCGTTGAAATGCGACGGGAACCGGCTCGTGTCGTGATTACGGTGTGATAAACTTCCGTAAATTGAAAGCCATTGACTCAAATAATTCTTCATTAACCCTAACAGCCCTGAATCCACCAATTTTAATATGATTTTGCACACACCCTAGGGAGTCAGGGTTTCAAGCAGTTTTTATCTGGTAATTTGTGCTTCTTTGTGATTGCAGTTCAGCAATTTTGTGCAAAGGATTGAACGACTTCATAAAGTCGTATACGTAATGGTGACGCTGGCCCGGCTCGTGTTGCCGTGCTGTAAGTATGATCAGTCGAAGTTATCCCTTGATCTGCCCGGTTCATTATTGACAAAAGCAACCCTAAAGTGATGTCCCATAAGAGAGTTCAATTGTGACATCGGGTTGATAATGTTGATTGATTGCTTTTTACAGAATTGAAACCTCTATATTTTGATCTTTTCGGTGGAACTTTTACAACGTGTCATTGTACGTGACACGAAATACTGATTATGGAGGACAGTCCATTCATTGGTAGGGGTGGGCAATCATTGTCGTCCATTCGTGGGTTGGTGTGTGGGGGTGTGTGTGTAGATTGTATTTAATTTAATTTTTTTTTCACAATATCTTGATGTGAGCGTCGTCTAATAACATTCTGAATTTGTGAAACAAGGCTTTGTGTGAGTGGAAATTTCCAGCTTTGGTGGCTTCCAATACCTCAATATTTCATAATGGAACTTGCTTCCCATGAATGTACAGTACCTGTTCCTTGCAGCATCACGGTTGCTGTACCTACCCAAACGACCCGAACGTGGCACACGTCGATTTTGGCGGCAATTTTTTTTCCTAAATTTATTTCAAGTGAAATTTTATCAAAAAAACAAATATATTCTCATTCACAATTCTCAATTTTACTGACCCGCTACGTAGTTCCGATAAAATTATATTTTGGTCAGTTTTACTTTTTTTTCAAAAATGATTTTCTAATAAACTTGTGGTTTGGTCCATGTAGCATAGACAATAATAATTTATAAAAATTCATCAACTTTAAAGAAATTCTTTGAATACGTTTATGTGGGATTTTTTTCTACTGAGCAACGTTAGGGAACACTCATTTGAATTCTTGCCCAATATCCAGATGGCACCGTTTTTGAATTTCAGACAAAATTTCATGACACGAGAATTGTTCACAAAGTTCCAATGGCATGTTTTATGAAGGTTACAGTTCCTTCATTTAACCAAATATGAATTTCAAGTTCCATGATGTTGTATTAACAGTGCTCTTCTTATACCTGTATGTGTTCAACCGTAGAAGAATCTGTTCAGTACTGCACCTTGTACACGAGGACATATGCATTTTGACTTGTTTAAACTCTACCTTGTTGTACTGGCACTTTGTGCAATAAACAGTCCAACCACCTCAACAGCAGAAATACATGTAGTAATTTATGGTGCAAGGTCTTTAGTGTAGCTTACTCGTTAACATGTTAACACAGTGTACTGCTGCATCTACAGTGATATGCTTGGGGATGGTTTCAAGTCAACTCGACCCCAAAAAACTTGGACCCATAACCAACTCGGACCCATAACTAACTCGGACCCATGCCAACTCGGACCCACCCTGAGTCAACTCGAACCCAACCCGAGGAACGTTTAGTTTCGGTTTGATTGTTATCAGAGTGTTCTAAATAACACTCTCAGACATTAACTGTACCAGAAGTAATTAAAGCACTGTCTCCTGATGCCCAAATAGATGATGAAGTTTATTTCCACTGGAAAGTGAAAATGCTTTACTAAACTCAGATATTAGATTGACATCTAAACGATACTGTACGGTATAAATCTCTTTATAAGACAAAATTAAATGTTGTTAAAGTGTGATAATTTATTATCACTTACACTACAACGTTTCAATGGATACGTAAAGCCAAATTTTTGGAAACGGCAATGATTAGAATTTGATGAAAGTTTCACATGTAAATGATTATCTAGTGTACTGCTTAAAAGAATTAAAATGGGCAGAAATTGCCTTGGTTGCAATCCGGAACATCTATAGAAGCAAGAATATGTCGGGACCCATGCCAAAATCATCACTGCAAGGACTGTCAGGCTTTGTGCATTTCATTTATTATCACAAAGTTGCCAAAGTAGTGTAAGGCTTGGTAAGTCCGAGTTGACTCAGGGGGGGTCCGAGTTAATTCCGAGTCGGACTTGGTTAGGGGGCCGAGTTGGTCGTGGGTCCGAGTTAGTATTGGGTCCAAGTTGGCGTGGGTCTGAGTTGGTTTGGGTCCGAGTTGGCGTGGGTCTGAGTTGGTTTGGGTCTGAGTTGGTTTAGGTCTGAGTTGGTTTAGGTCTGAGTTGACCTGATCCCTTGGGGATGGGGTTAATGGAGAGCTTAATATAAAGTGGCAACCTTAGCCTTTGTGGCTTGTGAAACACACTGAAATTCGAAAACACTTGTTGAAATAAGAATTGGATTTAAGTATTCCCCCATCTTCATTAGAAGATATACGTGGACATGTACAAAGCAAGAATGCCAAATTGGTGTACACTGTACTCACACTCACTAAAACTAAAACTCTACTTGATCTATCACGTGCCACAGTATATTATTTCCAGCTTAAAAGGTTGTGCTAGGAGTTTTCAAATTTATAACTTCTTTTTTTCAAGTGTATGATTCAAAGAGCCTTATGTAACAATTTGAATTAATTATGTTTTGTTGGATACAGTTTCATTAAGTCACATGTACATATATGTACATTGTTGTTCCAAGTGCCATCACTTTTATTGTGGTGTGTATTTATATGAGTAGAAAAATTAGCAATAAGGGAAGTTTTTTCAATGAAGTTTGTGTTGCAGAAAGCTTTGCAGTCAGGATAAATACACAAGTTGAGAAATGTTTCTGGTGAAACAGTTCACCTTCATATGTACATTTTTACGGTTTTTAAAATAAATCCTGTGGTACATGTATGGTGGCAGATTAGAATGACTTTTTGACTCAGCGAGTGTTTCACCTCTGGGTAATAATACCAGAAATAGCCAAGAGGACGATTCAGTGTCTGCTTCTATTACGAAATTGTTTTGCAGGGAATGATAAAGTGCCTACCAGTACTTACGTACATTTACATATTGCGTAAAACTGGTGATTGACAAGCACAGGGTCTGAAACATTGGATGACGTTTAACTGGGACACCGTGTTTCTGTTACGAGGGAAACCTTACATTCATTGACCTGATGCAATACTTTTTTACATTAGATGGGTTATTTTAAACAAATAAGTGCCTGAGTTCACTTTAGTGTTTTTTCTTGATTTTACCTTTGTTCAAGACTGATTGAAACAACCAAACAGTTGTGAGAGTAAGCACTCTGAAATCTTGCCCGAGTTGAGAATCCCATTCCAGTGATATTCCATACATCTGTCTCAGACTGCCACTTGTGTCACTTATGTTCTATATTGCCAAGTTTATTTACTCAATATGTAGGTGCCCTGGTTTGATTTTATATCTGGGGATATTAATTAGTGGAAAAGTTATTTAGTGTCCCAGTTACTTGTGAAATTTGATGCGTCTTGTCTAATTGTTTGGCCTGGAACTTGCTAAATAATGTAACTGGTTGCATGATTTTTGTGTTTCTTTAAATTTCAGATGTTGGGCAACGTAAGTAAGTGTGCTGGAATTGAATGAAGTTGTTTTGAAATTTGGACTTCTATGTTCCACTTTGGACCCCTTATTTATAGAAAAACCCATATGTTTGTGTTCAGGTTATCTGCTCAAGAAATGGTAACATCAGCCTGTTTCATGTCTGTCGCTCTCCGGGCAGACACCATGAGGTATGTTATTCCTTAATTACTCCTCAAATTCCGGTTTAAAACAAATTACAGAAATGAAAAGCCATGGATTGTGACACATTTCTCAAATGTTATACCTGTAGCACTAATGTTTTAACAGATGAATTGCTCTTCTCTGTAAGAGTGGTATTTTAGATAATCTGAAAAACAGTTGGTCAGCGCGCTTGTCACCTAGCATACCTCCGATGTTTGTTGGTCAGCGTGCATGTCACCTAGCATACCTTTGATGTTTGTTGGTCAGCGCGCCTGTCACCTACCATACCTTCGATGTTTGTTGGATCTGTTTGAATTTCGATAAGCTTCTCTGCAAGTTAATCCAGGTGGTCTGTTTGGTCTACCACCTTCTCCGCAAGTTGCTCCGGTTGGTCTGTTTGAATTTCTATCAGCTTTTGCTTAATTTGATCCATATTTTGTAATACATATTATTTAAAAAATGGCAAGTGCTCTAATGATGGTCGGAGGAGCCATAGTCAATGCATTGGCGTTTACGGGCTCCAATCTTTTATTCAGCATCTAGTGTAGACGAGGAAAGAAAGCGCCACGATTTAGCTCTAGAGCAATTGGCACAAGCCAAGCAAACCTGGCCAGAAAATCGCGTGCACATGCTAGATTATTTAATGAGTGCATCAGGCAAGAACGTGCTAGTCAACAGACATTTGTAAACGTGGACAAAGCGTTGCGAGCTTACTCAGAGTTGACCAGTAAAAATGTGTTGTTGTTGCTTCCGCAGCCAAAACTGTCCGATTGCTACGTGCCTTCGGAAGATCAAAAAGTTAGAGAATTGGTGTGGATCTGCTTTGGTCATTTTTTTGGCTTACAAGTTTAGTTAGGTTAAGTTTAGTTAAGTTTTGCTCAAGTTTAGTTAACTTTATTTTAAAAAAAACTTCAAAACTATGGATAAAGTAAAGGATAAATCAAAGGAGACAGAATTTTCTAAATTGTTTTACAGCCCACAAGGCTATTGGAAGAGCGAAAGTGCCGTTGACCATTTGCATCAATTGACGGGTGCAGACAAGTCAGTTATTAGAAACTGGTTAAAGAAACAAGCTGTTTGGCAAATCTGTATACCTGCCCCTGATTTCATACCCAGGCCGACAATGCGGCAGTCGGAATCTGTAGTACCAAATGAGGTGCATCAGATAGATGTGTTATACTTGCCTTGGGATCGGGTGAACCGTAAAACTTTTAAATACGCTTTGACCGTTAACGACGTGGGATACAGGCACAGAGAGGCCAAGCCATTGACAAGTAAAACTGCCAAACAAACGTCGGAAGTCGTTAAACAGATTTACAAAAGGTTGCCTCTGACCTGGCCTAAATTTGTCATGGTGGATGTGGGATCAGCATTTAAAGGCGAGTTTAAAAAGTTGTTTGCCAAACACAACGTCGAAATACAAGTGGGTGAACCGGGTGTTCATAGGTCGTAGGGAATCATCGAATGGTTTAACCGAACATTGGCCGAGCATTTATTTGGCCATCAATATGCACAAGAAATGTTAAACGTAGGCGAACGTAATGTTGAATGGGTTGTAAGGTTGCCTCAAGTAATAAAATCGCTCAACAAAGAAAGACTAGATTAATTGACAAAGAACCTGCAGCAGCCATCAAGTTAGACTATGTGAAACAAGCACCAAGCGTGCCTGAAAGGGCTAGTGATAAACAACAAAAAGAACCTCCCCCCCCAAAAGAGAAATTGAACTTCCTTCAGATGCAGTTGTTAAGTATCTATATTACGCAGGTGAGCAAGAAGGTGGCACTGTCAAAAGGACGACCGTTCCGGTCTGGTCCGTGGACGTTTACCAAATTGAGAAGCGCACAAGTCAGTTTAAACGGGTCCAAGGTAAGAGGGTGAAAACGGGGCCCACTTTATATTACCTGTTGGACGGACCCAAAAGGAGTTTCATTAAAGAAGAACTTCAAGTGGTACCCGAAGACACCGAGTTGCCTCCCGCTGAGTAAGGCAAAGGTGTTATGACCTTACCGTTTTCTATTGTCGACTTTAAGTTTAGTGGCGTAAAAACTAAGCCTAGAGTTTCTTCCTTGTTTTCGGAGTCTGAATTAAAGACACATTCGTAAACGAGTGAATCGTGTAGTTCTTTTGGCCTAATGTTTTCTAAGGCTTGCCAGCTTTTATGGGGTAAGGCTTGTCTAGCGAGCTCCAGGTCAGTTTCTTTAAACCCCTTTCTAATTGATGTAAAATGCCCATGGGCCAACGTGTCCACACCCTTTTGTAACAGGTAAAGCTTTGTGCCCAAGGGTGACAGACACAGTTTATTTTGCTTGATGGTGAATAGTTGATGTTTGTCTTATCTGAACAGTTGCTGCTTAAAAAAGTGTTGTAACCATTCAAATAGGCACCTTTTATAAGCCTTGTGTGACAACTGTTTTGGGGTTACTACTTTGGTAACTCCTTTCCCCTTTTTCAAATTCTGTTCTTCCGTTAAAATGGAGTACATTTTTGGCCGTATGCAAATGGTTTCCGATATCACTTGGCCACCAAATTCATCTTTCATCTTGCTAATTATTTTTTTTGTTTTTCGGATCGTAAAGTATATGATTGGGCGGGTACTTGCTCAAATTGAGTAGGCCACACTTTTTGCGTAAGTAATTGGTTAAATCATCGGTTTGAATCTGAACAAGCAGGCTGTCTGTATCGGTGTACAAAAGACAGACACCCGAGCCAAAGTTCACTTTCAATGTGTTGTAGTAGAAGTCGTACATTAAAGTTATTGATAGATCTGTTTACGCTGCAGTAAATGGGCCTATTCAACTTGCCAATTCAAGCTCCTTGCATGATTAGATGCGCGTCGTACTTCTCCAAGTTGTGTAAAATAATGGGGACAGGCGTTTGCTTTGGTACCACTCTTAACTTCAGATTGCAGTGAGCGTGTGCCAGACCTTGATACTTGCCCGTTACGTGGCAATGTTCTCGGACTTTTCTAAACTTCTTGATGGGTTTTTCGCAAGTCATGCAAATGAAGTCTCTGAAACCACCGTCGTTTAAGGAACTAAAGGCCGCCTTTTTGCTTTTAGTTTTTGGTTTGTCCGGGATTGGCATCGACACCATGATTCTTTGGTTGGGCTAATGTGCCTTTCGCAGATCCAGCAGATGTTGCATTTGTTGTGAAGTTTCTGTAGCTTAGTGTCCAGGTAAGGGGCTTTGGATTGACAAATGTTTCGTTAATTGTGTAAACTTCTCTAGATAATGATTGCACAAAATGAAAGGCTGCATCTTGACCTCTGTACGTTTTGCGACTAGTACATACACCGTCACATCTAACAACTGCGTAAGAATAGCCGGAGGGTTTGTGGTGTTGTACCTTGGCCATGTTTAATGGTTCTACTGGGAGACGCTCTAAAACAGACTCGAAATCTGCGTAGATGGCAAATGGGGCATCTTGCTTATTTTATAGTTTTTAAACTTGAGAATGTTTTAGCCCTTTACAGGTAACTCTACTTTGGAAGGTGCTGTGTCCATTCCTTGGCAGTCTTCTTGGTGTTTGTCTCGCTGTTGTTCAGTTTGAAAGTGAGATAGCAATTGAAGCGTCAGTGTGATTTGCCATCGTGATTGTTGACGTCACCCATTAACTGAGAAAAGGTCTTAATCCAACAGTCGTGGCCTGTTTCACCTTGGTTAAAGTAAAGTAAGTAATCGGATTGCCCATGCATTTAGTTTTGTAAAGTATGGAAATGCCTTCTTTCCCCGTGTAACCGAATACATTGATTGCCAAGTTGTTTTGTGATTCGATTCGTGGAATCTGCGACAAGGGAGTGGGAAAGCCCACTTTTGTAAAATTTAAGCCGTCGTCTGCAGTTTAAGTTGAAGTTCTGTCCTTGTGTGTCTTATAATTGGGATTGGTTTCCAGCTGATGTCAGACGTTTCTAAATATAACTTTAAAGCAGCTCTCAACGCCCAGCAAATGCCCTCTGAGTCATTCGTATTTTGGACGTTAATGATTGCTTTCTTGTCTGTCAGTTCTTTAGGCAGTGAGATGTAAGATTACACTTTACCATGTTGATGTAAAACGCGCTGACTGCGCCTCTCTGTTTGTGACCTTCAACATCTACAAGTTGTTTTGCTATTTGTTCCTTCAAGGCACACTTGACTTCCCGTTTAGAAATCACCACGTTATTTTTACTCATAAATGTGAAAACGCCAAATTTAGTTTCAGCTCTGGGCTTTTCCATTTTGAATTTGACCTTGATTGCCATTTGCAACTTGTAAGAGCCTATCTCTTTAAACTCGGCCAACGCTTTATCCTCGATAGACTTTTTGTAAAAATCGACAAAGTGAATCAAGTCGTCGGCAAAGAAAGTAGGCGCCAGTTCCCAATTTCTGTAGTTACCTTGAAAGCGCTGGATTCTGCGGATGTTTACCTCTTCGATTGCTTCTGGTTTAATGTAAGATTTAATTGCAGTGATTAGGTCTTTTCGCAGTACGTTGCCTGTGTGCCTGTGGCCGTTAATGATATGTTGTTGTCTTGTGCTATCTGTCAGAGTTGACGATACGACTGTCTCGTGAGATTTTTGAATTGTTTGTTGATTCGCTCGAAGTGCTTGTACAAGTTCAGGTCTGGTGTGTTGTTTACGTTTAGCTGGCGGAGGTAATGGAATGTTATGTTGTTTGACAAAGTCGGATAAAAACATTTTTTTCAATCGTCTAAAGTCTGATAAGATAGTACGACATTGTGATTTTGTTTTCGTATTCATGTCTTTATTTATATATATTTTTTCTCAAAGCGTCAGGGGAGAGTCAGTTTTACTGAGAAATAGAGAAGTCTCAGGGAAGTCCCTTTTTGGTTTGGGAAGTCATGAGTTTTGGTTCGGGAAGTCACGAGTTCGGGGGAAGACCCTTAAATTTCTGGTTCGGGAAGTCACGAATTCTGTTTCGGGAAGTCACAAGTTTTGGTTTGGGAAGTCCCTTTTGGTTTGGGAAGTCACAAGCGAAAAGGGAGAAGTCCCTTCTGGTATGGGATAAGTGAAAATGAGGGGGCTGGTCCAGAACTGTCCTTGGCATACTACTTATTTAGGTGCATCGTAAATGCTGAACTTGTGCCGGATCACCCTGAAATCTGATTTGTTCCAAGACAAAATTTACACCTTTTTGTTACCAGCTTTGCTGACCATGTACTCCTTGTGGTCTTAAACCAAAGCGTATAATGGCAGATTTATATAACATCTCTGATTACTTGTCAAGTTGTGTGGCAATGTCAATTACAGCGCAGAGGCAGAATTTTATCACAATGGCACAATAATCACTGGAGCAACGGATCAAGAAAAAAATGGCATCTGTATACGAAGTGCACATACATGTATTTGCAGAGTGCAGATCACTAATTCAAGTGAGAATTTGTGGCCAGCTCATTAGCATTAAAAGTGCCCCACAGTATCTTTTGAAAAAGGTGATTGTTTGGCCCCCAGAATGGTGAGATTGTGTAAATCGTTGCTTGGATGGACTCTCTGGGTCTTTGAGCTTTCGTATGAGAGCAGAATGGCTAAAAACTACAGTTAAAAAATGGTCGTAAGTGCCCGAGAAAGTTGAGGGTTGCCACTTGCAAAATGCATGGCTGCAATGGGACTTTGGAAAAATCACTTTTCAGGAGGTGATGTTGTTTTGTGGGTATAATTAAAAATGTAATTGGTTAACCCACAAAAAAATCGAAAAGAAATTGAAAGATTAGGGACTAGACAATAATTTCATTTGTGTTCTGAAATCTCAGGGATGTTGGCATGCAGGCATGTATGTTATCGGGCCCTGAACAGTGCAGACTTTACACTGTTTTCAATGGGGCTTGAATTTAGTGGACTGTACCCTGAAGCTGATCGCTGCCTTATTATACAGCGCGTAGTTCATGCATTTCCCTATCTCGTTAGCGTGCAGATTTTCATGTTAAGACTTGACAGACGTGCATGCATGGACCGAAAAAAGAGATTGTATCATATCGTGTACATTTATGATGGCAGCAATACTACTCTACAGTGTACACATGATGTCAAATTGAGTGTATGTAAACGATTCTGCACAATGAGTGCAAGTTTGTTTTTGTATGCAATATTGGTGGTGTTAATAGCAAGACTGGCAAAATACCAAGACTGTGGGGGAACAAGACCGAAACCACAGGGTACCGAGACCAGGAAAGACCGGTCTCGAGACCTACAACACTGGTTTGTAGTTGGGTATTATACAGACGTATTATTTGATCGTCTGTGAGCAGCTAGAGACGCCTTGTCTATAAATCTCAACAGAGGGCGATCTTTGCAGTCTTAACTGTACGAACGAGCAGCCATAAGGCCCACAGACTGATTTCAGACGTTTTAACACACACAAGCTATCCCGTTGTGTTGAATCAATGCAATGGCTACTGTACTTGGGCAGGGTATCGCTGAGTTGAAAACCAGCGGTCCCAGACTCACAAGGCATAATGCATGAATATCACACTATTACGATAAGTGCTTACTGCACGTGTTAGAACCCACTTCTTTCAGCAGATGCTTTCCAGCAGTGCTTCCCAGCAGATGCTTTCCAGCAGTGCTTCCCACCAGTGCTTAAGCTTCCAAGCTAGGCTTGTGCTTCTCAGCAGCAAACTGTCCTTCTGCCCATCTGTGCGCGTCTTTTATGCCTGCTTTGCAGACGTTATACAGGTGATTATAGCTCGCAGTGTACTGCCAGTAGCCAATCAGCGTACCCCGGGCGGTCCTTCTCCTGCGAGCTTCTGGTGAACACCTCACGCGCCCTCTGTGTTAGCCCGCGAGTACTCAAATGTTCCTCTGTCGCGTTACAGTATTCAGAATTTTGTAGAATGAAGGTTCTAGGAACTGCATGCCATCTTTGTTTCCCACTCAGTGCCTGGCCACATAATAAGGCATTAATGACCTGCATGTACAATCGAAAGCCAATACAAGCTCTAAATCCAGCGATACACGTCGTTCACGCAGCTGATGACCCTAACACGAACAGTCAGGTTACCATTGTGAACACCACTTGGTGTTTGTGATGTCAAACATGCTTGAGTTTTTCCCCAAGAATTTCACACATGAAGTTAGTCGTTTCTTCAGTGCAAGCTATAATAACTTTCTTTTTGGGTGTGTTTGTATTTCCCTGTGGAGGGTTCATAAAGATCGACATGCATACGTCTTAAGTTTGTCTTTTAAATAAACTGACTTTGAAATATCCCACAGAAGATATTTTCACCGTGATATCTGTCAGCGTAGTTTTTTTTTAAGATGAAAAACAGCAGTCATGAAATGTATCCTTGGGGAGTGACCTTTCATGCAGCCCTATAATTCTCTATAAGTGGAATGCAGATTTAGAAAGTTCAAATTAAGTCAATACCCAAAGCACCATGGTCAGAACAAAGTATTTTAGCGATCGAGAAATGCATGCTGGTATTGATCAGGTACAAAGTCTGTTTGCCTTCCTCCGAAATCTGAGTCAAGTTATTTGTTACTTACATATAAGGAAACGAAAAATGACATGATGGAATGTGCGGCAACGAATGCATATCATGTTTTTTTTTTTTTATAGGAGCCACATTCTTGTTCATATGTAGGTGTAATTGCTGATCATTTTCCAAGATTTGTTGGGAAAAGCCATACCACTAATGCATTAACATATAAATTTGCTTTCATGGAGGAAAGCAACAGGTGAAAAATCTACACACATGTAGGGGTGGGGTGATATTCTTTATTCAGTTGGACACAAAGAATAACAGACGGCAGGGAAATAATCTCTCTTTTGAATGTGTTTGCCCTAAAAGGGCAGTTTGGTCTTTCGGCGGCGTTTAATAGCCAGATGCCAGTCCCTCGTTTTCGATGACCTTGGAATTACTTTATGGATATGATTGAGGTATCGCGTGCACGATTCAACAGTCACTCGTGTGTTCCAGAACAGAAGAATTCCCTCCATCAGTTCATCTTTCTTGGTTGGCTTCACTGTTTGTCTGAGAAAGTGTTTCATTTCGTGCCAAAAGTTTTCAATACGGTTCAGGTCGGGGACTCCGATGGGAACTTTGTCCAGTTGATCTCTGCCTGGCTGATGAAGTTTTTTGTTGTCTTGGCTGTGTGCTTGGGGTCGTTGTCCTGCTGGAACCGGTGGCCGTCCGGAAACTGTCTCCTTAAGAAAAGCAGCAAAGTGTTCTGCAGTATTTCTTGCCAGTAAAAGTCACCATCCATGATGTCTTGGAACACCAGGATTGGCATCTTTCCGCACTTTGAAATTCTTGCCCAGACGTGTACTTTTACGGGATGTTTGGCTTTGGGTTTCAGCCTTCTTGGCGTGTTCTGTTTCCGGAAACAGAGTTTTCCATGGCGCTCTGGTTCAATAGAACTTTTGTCCATAAAAAAAAAGTCATCGAAAGTGTCTCCTCCATGCTGTGCCTCAAGATAGAACTGAAGTCACTCAGTCCGGTTCTGTTCACAGACAATCTGGCAGTAGAAAGGCCTACTCTGCATGAACTCAAGCTGTTTTTGAATTCAATGAATTCGGGTTGGCGACACATCAATTTTGAAGATGTTGTGGAGGATGACACATACGTCTTGGGCAGAAAGTTCATCATCGTTCTCGTACATGAACAGTAATATGAACAGATCGTTGACTAACTGAGGTAGCCCCTGGGGAAACTTCAATGGAGGTCTTGGTCCGTCTCCAAATGAACCAGTTTATTGATATTTCTTGAAAAATAGAGGAACGGTCCACCGCGTGACAATGATGTCATCTTTCCGGAGGTCATATAAGATGTCTTTTGGGCTTAACTCGGCACAATGCAACAGTACGATGCGAGTTTTTGCATAAAGTTTTGGCATTGAGTGATTGTCATCTGCATCATGGTTAAACCATGATGCGGATGACAATCACTTAATCATGAGGATGGAAAGCAATGATAATATAATGTAGCTGATGGGAAGAGCTTTATATACTTAGCGTGATGTCATAATGAAGTACACCCGCTGTACCTCCCCATATGCACAGTTATGAACCATGACCAGTCATCTATCATGCATGACCTTTCACCGACCGTTCTTATGTCCATGTAATTGTTTTGTCCATGCATGTGCCACATATGTACATGTATAGTGTATAATTACATGTATGTAAAACATCAAGGAGTTTCGGTTTATTTTTTTCCATGCTGTTTGGGAACCACTTTTGGCCAACAACATTACACCCTGATTCATGAAAGTCAGTTTGAGCATGTACACTTTCACTCTTTGGTTGATATTTCTAAAATTTATGATTTGCCACAAATTGGACAAAACATACTATGAAACATATTTTTTTCACCCACATTTCCCAGAGTGTCCGTCAAATGACAAAACAATATTTATAACAAAACTAACAACCTTTACAGTTACAACAAAATTTAAGAAGTGCCGTGACTGAAAAAAAGGGATGATCAAAAATCCTAATTATAAAGGACTTTCATGCTGTCACATTTTGAACCCATATTCGGGCACAAGATCGCATGCGCTAATGCATTATGTAAGAATTCGTCACACATGACACTGTGCATGCATTTGTATCCAAAGTCACTTATTGAAGGTACATTTTAAACAAATTGGATTTGACCAACTTTGTAGCTAAGCGTAAATTGGGTTGTAGACAAATGTTGTAACATCGTAACTGTGGCAAGATTTCACTTAATGCAACACTTTCATCACTAAAATGTTTCAGATGATTATTTGCAATCAGATTTTTTTGTCTTTGTTACAGGAAGCATACAGTGCTGTTGGCCAACGGGGCCAACCTTTTTACTTTTGAATTAAATGTGTGTTTTTATACGAAGCTGGCGTACCCTCCCAGACTCAAGCACCTCAAAGAAGGCATTCAGTGGGTTGGATGGATTGTTTTTTATTTTCTGAAAATGAATCAACTGCCTGTCATCCACCAGAACTTGAACATTCTTGATGTCACAACTAATTATTTTGCGCAGCATTTTTCCAATCTTCTCAATTTTTTCCTTGTTTTTGACAGTGAGAGAGTTGAACAAAATGATTGAGCAGAACGTCACAACTGACTGTATTACAGAAACGTAAAATGAATTGAGAATATCTCTATCTACTTAAAAGGATTTTGGCTTCCAAAGAAAATACAATCATTGATTAGCCTTTGCAAGGGTTCTGTTGATATGCTGGTTCCATGTAAGGCTATTGCCAAAAAGAACACCCAGGTACTTTTAACTTGATACAGTTTCAACACATTGTCCATTCAACATAACTGGATGCATGCCATTTTTAATTTTACAGAAGTCGAAAATCATTTCTTTAGTCTTATTGACGTTTAAGATCAGCACATATCCTTCACACCACTGGTAAAGGAGGGATTTTGCATTGATTCCTGTCACTACTGTTAACATAGTATTTTTCCCAGACTCAGGAGTGGTAATTTTGATACGTTCAATTTGATAGTTCAAATAGATTATCATCTTACATCTTTCATATGTAATTTTAATATTGATGTTTTATTTTCTATTAAATCCTACAAAAGGCGATAAACTGTTGTTGGTTATATTAAATAAAGGAAACAAAGATTAAAGGAAAAATAGTGGCGATGTTTGAAGTAATTACTTTTCTTATTGATCCGCATGATTTCATTTTTCGAACAGATAATCCTGCATTGAATAATACCAACACAAAACCTTAATGCATGTACGTGCAGAGTCTTATGGCAGCACAAAATCAGTATACTACAGGAAACAATTACCAAATGACGACCTGACAAAAAGATGATTGCTACGAACACCCCAGCACCAACAATACAACGTCTTTCACATTAAATTCTCACCGACCAGATCCACTACATGTAACGTCCGATGTACAGATGAGTTGCGACGAGTCGTTCCAAGGTGAGTTGCGACGAGTCATTCCAAGGTGGGATGGCAGCTCCGTTGTGTTGTGTAGGCAGTCGGCAAAAGTGAAGGGGCAAAGTTCAGCAGAAGAAATGTAACGTAAAAGAATACTTGCGGATCTTGCAAGATTGATGCTGGTGATTAGTGCCGCAGATGCCTTGGTGTACTTGTGCTATGTCGGCAAGTCACAATATATGTAGCTTGGTGGCTGAGAGGCCTGGAGACAGCTCTTCAGGTGGACTACAGAAACTCCCGTCTGGCACCCTCTTTCAGAACATGCAGTTCAGTAACTAAGATAGAGAGCATAGTGGTCCATGCCACATTACTAATAAAACCACATTTACGGGCTCAGACCAATGCAACCGACTTTCTATGAGTTACATGCTTTAGTAGCTGTACATTGTGTAGGAAACTTCAATAAAATACCATCTTCCATGTAAGTCAACATGTGAAGGAGAAATATCTGAGGCACTGACCTAGAACAAATCTTAAAACTAGACAGGATTTCCCTGGGAATACATTTCCCAGTCCCACACATCATGAGGTAGGAATCAATCCAGGAAAGCTCCAACTCTTAATCAGACTGGTTATATATACAATGTAGGTATATATAAAAACAAAATCTAAAGCTTGACCAAGAGACAATTCATATCTCTAACTTCTGATGAATTCAATGCATATCAGAATCTACCGAGTATACACAAACCCTGTTCAAATAAATCGTAGTCGTCAGAAAAGCATTTCAAAAGCATTAGTCCAAACTGTAGGACTGCACTCAGTCTATCACTTACACCATGGATGTGATGGGTGATAAGTCCTGACTTACACATATATTCAAAATCTGCTCATATTTCTCAATGCAGTGAAAAGCACAACTTATTCCCAGTCTCCACTAAGTTATTAGTCAAGGTGATTGAAAAGTACACTCAAACTGCCTCAATTAATTCACGAAACACATGTCCTAAGCTAAATGAAAAAGCAAAGCTTTATGAGGGAACATCTCTTTTAGATCTAGTCTCAGAACAGTACTGGCTAGTGGAAACTACGAGATACATGTATCAAACTTTCAACATCGTGAATCTGCTTGGACTTCTCAAAAATATCCCAGTGTCCAGACTTCATGTAATCGATCGGTAAACTTCTTTTCACAATTTACAACAAGAGTCACAATGAAAAATACATTGACTAATCTCCAGAAAAGATACACAATAGTATAAAATGATAGAAATAGGAACTCAAACTTACCTAAGATAGAGAGTCAACGCTCATTAACGTAAGGGGAAAACTTGGATTTTGAAGTCCTCCAGTCCAAAGAAAAGTAGTGCAGAGCGCAGACAGAGTTCGGCAGGCATGTAGTCAGTACGACGGCAAAGTTTGGAATGCCCAGCTTACCAAAACTCTGGGGCAAACTGCTCCCCACAACATGCCCTTGCCACATGACTAGCTCAGGCTCTCATTGGACAACTTAAAAAATGCCACACATGACTCCAATACTGATTGCTCATCTAGTATCTAGGCAGATGAGCACTCAGCAGAAGTTTATGGCTTTCACAGCTTGGAGTAAGGTGCAAACAACAACTAGGGATTAAGTGTCCCAACATCCTGCTGATCTCCTGAAAAGTTTACTGGGAGTGTACACACTGGTATACTAGTCAGAGATTTAAGGAAGTGGGTACAAAGAGCATCCTGTGATCTTGTAGGAAAGAAGGAACATTAAAGATAAACTGAAGAAAGAGCAGGCTATTTGACAAAAGGAACAGGCAATAGATCTAAAGGTTAACCACTGGAACACTGCTCACCAGTAGAAAAGTCAAAGCTGAGGAAAGAAGAATTTAAGTATGCAAAAGGAAAACATAGTCATGAAGAAATAAAATTTTAAGTTCTAACTCAAGACCTCTTTTGGGACGGGGTTACATTTGCCTGAGGCAACTTTGATGAAGATTGACCCTTGCAAAGGGACTAAAGTGCTGTGGAGAAAAACTGTGTACAAAAGAATGGGAACAAGAAGAAGAAAACGATAGCTTCAATTTCTGTTTGCAACAGAACGTAGGGCTTTTTCACTTTTCAATGAAAATGTCATCATCACGATTGCATATCTGCAATGTTTCATCCCACTGGGACTTTTGGAGATATAAAGCTTTAAAGGATGCACCTTTCATATCACATGACTTGTCAACTAATAAGGTCATCATCCCATGAGGTCAATTTTTGTCTATCACACATCCCCTCCCAGATATCTACAAAGTTTCAACCCGCTGGGACAATCACTTTAGGAGATATAGGTCTTTAAATGATGTATCTTTAATGTCACGTGGCTTGTCAACTGATGACGTCATCATCCCATGAGGTCAATTTTCGTGTATCACACAATCCCCTCTAGGTATCTGCAAAGTTTCATCTCAATGGGATATACTCCAAGAGATATAGGGCTTCAAAGTTTGCACATTAAATGCCCTGTCACCTGATGACGTCATGATCACAATGTTCTTGACGGACCATGGTGGACGAAGAGTATGCACCTAATATACATGTATAATCATACCTGCCAACTAGTACGACTTTGGCATATTTTTTACGAAAAATTAACGAAAACATGACAGTAAGCTTTTATCACCATCAAATACAGATTTCTATAATTTTGACATGGACAGAAAAAAGAGGGCGCTGTGTGAAATCTAAGCTGAAAGAACTAAAGCAGCTGCGAGGAAGACTAAGTCACATGTCACGTAGTTTGATATCGTGAACTTGTGAAACAGAGCGTTCGTGATTGGTGTACACGATGTACACATGCCCCTGGTAGCACACGGATCAACCAATTGGGACATCGCATACCAAACCGATTTGCTTGCATTGTGGAGTGTACGTTCGCGTGCATGCAAACAATTTTCCGACATGATAATCGTAAAACTGCGTGAATGAAGATGGCTTCAACTTCTAAAAAAGACACCCAAGAACGAAAGCAATCTTTCAAAAGGGATTATACGGAGAAATTTTAATTTATATTATCTTCCCAGAGAGCTGAACATTACACTCGCTGCACTTTGTGTAGTTCTGACTTCAGTATCATGCATAGTGGGAGTTATGATGTACAAGTATCTCGCACTTTTCAGCATAGTGCACAAAAATGCAACCGACTCAAGAGCCAGTCTAGTCCTGTCAGACTCTTTCACAAACAAAAGATACATCCAAGCCACAGCCAACCATGGCAGCAACATGCACACCATAATGAACTGTTGCGTAAATGCAAGAAAGCAACTGCTGTGAGCAACACCAGGAAATTATAAGGTCCATTTAAACCTGCATGAGTAAGTATTAAAGTTCAAGTAGTATGTACTCATCCAAAGGTACTTGTAAGCTTGTCTTTCCTGTTTGGGAAAATACACATTTTTATTGAAAAATACACATTTTGGAACCTACAAATACATTTTTGAAATTCTACAGGTTGGCAGGTCTGTATAATCAGTCACATTGATAAAAGTGCCGAAGTCCGGCTGTTGAAAAATGTGTCCAAACCTATGGGGAAAATAAATACTCACAATTCCATAAAAAATCAGATGATGACATCATCGTGACGTCATGCTTCGGGGCACATCTTTGCTTAAGGCAACTCTGATGGAGATTGAACATTGCAAAGGGACTAAAGTGCTGCCAAGAAAAACTGTGTACAAAAGAAACAGGGTTTGGGGAGAACAACAACCAGAAGAAAAAGAAGAAAAAAAATCTTGACAAAATTGAGCCTTTTTTGCAAAGTGTTAAAAAGCCAAAGAAGAAGAAGGAGAAGAACTGTTATGATTATTATTTTTTATTTATACTGGGTGACTCGTTCAGTTCGTAAAAAAAAATGTTCTCCCATGAGTCCCTGTGAACAATCATAAGACAAGAGAAAAAGAGAATT